TTTATAACCTCTCTTATCTTGACCTTTCTGGGAATGATATCGTTGGGGAAATCCCATCTTCTTTTGGCAATCTAAACCAGTTGACCAGATTAGGTGTTGGTATAAATAAGCTCAATGGAAGCTTTCCCAATGCACTACTGAATTTGACAAAGTTGTCATATTTAGAACTCAGCCTCAATCAGTTCACAGGAACAATTCCTCATAACATCACTTCACTATCCAAATTGACGACCTTTGACGCAAGGTACAACGCTTTCACTGGAACCCTGCCTTCTTCTCTCTTCACCATTCCTTATATTGAATACGTTGGATTGTCTGATAACCAACTCAACGGTATTCTTGAGTTTGGGAATATATCTTCACCACCTAAGCTACGATTGCTATACGTTGGCAATAACAACTTGAGAGGGCCAATCCCAGCCACGATATCCAAATTTACCAACCTTGTCTGGCTTGACCTTTCCCATTACAAGACACAAGGTCCAGTTGACTTTAGTATCTTCTCCCATCTCAAGTTGCTCCATATTCTTGACCTATCCTATTTGAACACGGCCACTACCATTGACTTGAATGATATCTTGTCGTATTTTAAGAGTCTCGTTTCGTTGGATCTCTCAGGCAACCATGTTTCAGCCACAAACAAGAGTCCCATTTCACATCCCCCATTGCTGGGTTATTTGGAATTGTCAGGCTGCGGTATCACGGAGCTTCCGGAGTTTGCAAGATTGCAAAATATGTCTGAGCTAGACATTTCCAACAATAAAATCAACGGACAAGTGCCTGGCTGGTTATGGACGCTACCCAAACTGTATTACCTAAATCTTTCAAACAACACTTTCACCAGCTTCGAAAACTCAACCCCAGTTTCACGTTCAAGGCTATATAGAAGCATAACCTTGTTTGCATCGGACAACAAATTCATGGGAAATATTCCCTCTTTGATATGTGATTTGCGTTTCGTAGAAGCTCTTGATTTATCAAACAACAACTTCAATGGTTCAATCCCTCGCTGTATGGGAAACCTCAAGCATACTCTTGAAGTTCTAAACCTGCGTCAAAATCGTCTTCATGGAAGTCTTCCGGAGAATATATTTGAAAGCTTAAGAACACTTGACGTTGGTCATAACCAACTGACGGGAAAGCTTCCAAGATCTCTGATCAATTTCTCTAGTCTTGAAGTTCTGAACGTGGAAAGCAACTTTATCAATGATACGTTTCCGTTTTGGTTAAGGTCTCTACCAGAGCTCAAAGTTCTTGTGTTACGCCACAATGCCTTCCATGGACCGGTACACCATACTTCGTTCCCTAAGTTGCAAATCATCGACATATCTCACAATCACTTCAATGGATCATTTCCATCAGACTACTTTGTGAAGTGGAGTGCTATGTCATCACCTGTGGTGGCGAATGATGATCAGCCGGATGAAAAGTACATGGGAAATTACTATTACCATGATTCAATGGTGTTGATGAATAAAGGTATAGAGATGGAGCTTGTACGCATCCTGAAGATCTACACAGCACTTGACTTTTCAGGAAACAAATTTGAAGGAGAGATCCCAAGTTCCATCGGTCTATTGAAAGAGCTTCATGTGCTCAACTTGTCCAACAATGCATTCACTGGCCTCATCCCTTCATCTATGGGAAACTTGACAGCTCTCGAGTCACTTGACGTTTCCCGAAACCAGCTTTCAGGAGTAATTCCGCAAGAGCTAGGGGAACTCTCATTCCTTTCCTACATGAACTTCTCTCATAACAAGCTTTCAGGTCTAGTACCAGGAGGCACTCAGTTTCGAAGGCTAAACTGCACTTCCTTTGAGGATAACAACGGACTTTTTGGCCCTTCTCTTGACGAAATTTGCAAAGATATTCACATGGCAACACCGCATGGAACGCTGGAATCAGAGAACGAAGAAGAAGAGGAGGAAGAGGTGTTGAGTTGGATAGCAGCAGTAATAGGAGTCTTACCTGGTTTTGCCTTTGGATGGGTCATTGGATACATACTTTTTGCCTACAAACCAGAGTGGTTCACAAACCCTTTTGTTCGAAACAAAAGCAGACGCAGCACCACCACAACTCATTAAAGAGGTAATATACCAAGAGTTTTAAATCAACTTGTTAGCAAACACTGGAAGAAACAAAATTATTATAATGAAATCACCTGTTTTGTACAGGTCTTTTCCGATTTCCGGGGAATCTGAAAGAAGAAATCCAAAGCAACCACTAAGTCTATCCTTATCAATTATCATTTCCGATTTAGCTTGTTGTTTTTTTTCTTCTCATTACTCTGTTTTTACTTTTTATTTTCTAGCAAACTTCTCTGTTTCTTTGGTATTGTCACCTTCGTGTGCTTTTTCTCTACATCTCTGTATTATGTTCCTCAGGCCGAAAATTAAAAGCACAATCCAAGATGGTGTTGTGTTTAACGCTCCTGTATCTAAACATCAACTGTGTAGACGTGAGGTGAGCCATAAACAGTGATCTACATCAGCGCTATACAGTTGATGTTTAGATTCAGTGAGGCTTATATATGAAGAAGAGAGACAAGAAACTCTTAACTCTGTTGGCTTATGAAGCTGACGTTTTGTCTCAATAGGATCATGTTTACGGTTGCATCGGAGCCAATAGCTTCTCTTCAACATGATATTAGCGTTGTTGTTCGCTATGGACTACATTAACAACATGAAAGCTGCAGTCTATGTTGATGCTGTTCTCTGAGTTTGATCATGCACGAAAAGAAGGGGGATGCATTCATTGTATGGTGAGTTTAATTCAAGCTCATGCAGATTTGCTTGTAGCAACTTCTTTTTGATAGTCATGAGAGAGTTATATAGATCCTTTAGGTATCCAACATTATAATACGGCTCATAGGCATGGTGCTAAGGTAAACAATTAAAGATTGCATTCTTGTGTATATATTAGTTTTATTAGGATGTGTGGAGTTAGACTTTTAGTGTCTGCCTGTGTAGAGAGATATGAATTGGAGTTAAGTGTTTACTTTTTTTGTGTGTTTATGGAAATGTTAAAAGGTGTTGGGGACTTTCATCACAGAATGGGATGAAGGGAAAGTTACTTGCAAGGAGATGTTTGCTACTAAGGAGTCTGCTCAGATGTATGCTGAGCGTTTGGCTGAGCTTTCTACTTCTCTAGGTTTCGATGGATGGTTGGTGAGTTTTGTGATTATATGGTTGATGATTGTATCTGGAAATGGATTTTGTTTAATGTAAGGTGTTTACTTGCAGATTAATATAGAGAATGAAATAGATGAAAAACAGATTCCTAATTTGAAGGAGTTTGTTAGCCATCTAACCAAAGTCTTGCAATTATCTACGCCTGGGGCTTTGGTTATATGGTGAGTTGTGGTTCACAAGTTCTTTCTTTTTGGTAAATTACTTTTATCTGATCACTTCTTTTTTGTTGCAGGTACGATAGTGTCACAGTTTGTGGAGATCTTGATTGGCAAGATCAGTTGAATGAGAAGAACAAACCTTTCTTTGACTTGTGTGATGGAATCTTCATGAACTATACATGGAAGGTACCATTTTTGGTTTTCGGTTTTGTTTCTTCTATATGCCCTTGTCTGTTATTTGAGCGGGTGATGATATTTCAGGAGAGCTACCCCAAACTATCAGCTGAAGTTGCAGGGGATAGAAAATATGATGTCTACATGGGAATTGATGTCTTTGGTCGTGGCTCCTTTGGTGGTGGGCAATGGACTGTATGTCTCCGAAACTCTTGAGAAACCCATAACTTTGTCATAAACTTTTCGTCATTATCTCATTTAATCTATATGATAGGTTAATACTGCACTTGATTTGCTGAAGAGAAACAATGTATCAGCTGCCATTTTCGCTCCTGGATGGGTATATGAGACTGCACAACCACCTAATTTTCATACAGCTCAGAATAAGTAAGTATTACTTCTTTTGCCTGTTTGATTGTAAATAAATTGCCATTTCTTTGTCATCTTATTATTGTTCATGCGTTTTCTATTCAGATGGTGGTCACTTGTTGAGAAGTCATGGTTCCTGGAGAAAGCTGGATGAAATCCCATCAAACTTCAACTAGTTTAGCAGTTCTTTTTTAAAGCAAGGAATGTCATAAAATCTTGAAAGTTTTAATAATAAGTAAAAAAGTTAAAACATTTATTATCAAACCGAAAGACTACAATATATGCAATATGCATAGGTCTCATAATCATAAACGTTAGTATTTTTGGGTCAATATGCATGGGTCTTTAGTCTTATGCAATTTCCATGGGTCTTCATATAAACCTAAGAAAAATAAGACTTCATAAATTACGTCTTCTTTGGTGTAGACAATTTTTTTGTGAAAATTCATGGTATTAGTGTAGGGGACCAATATGTGTGGAAAACTGACTATCAGACACAAAGATTTTGTTTTCGACGTTATGAATAATGTATTTTTCTCTATGGATTTATTTGTGTGTGGAGTAAATACAGAGTCTATTACTGTGTATATAAAGAAATGGCCATGGAAGCATGTTAATCATCACCAATTTCCCTGTTCTTTTTGCTATTTCAGTTTTGATATTCAAGAAAGTTAAATAAGCTTAAAGAAGAATGATAGGCTTTTGGAACTTAACGAGTTCCATTTCTCTTACTCTGTCTATACTTTTCCTATTCGGTTACAATTATGAAGACGTGTCTGCGGTTCCTACTACGCACTTGTGTCGTCCGGAACAAAGGGATGCACTTCTCCAGCTCAAGAACGAATTTGAGGTTCTAAACTCTTCCTTTGCTTATTATAGATGTATTCATAATGGTATTAAACCTCATGGGAAGACAGAGTCATGGATGAATAACAGCGACTGCTGTAACTGGGAGGGTATCACCTGCAATGCCAAGTCTGGTGAAGTGATCGGACTAGACCTTAGTTGCAGCTACATAAGTGGCCGATTTCATTCCAATAGCAGTCTTCAAAACCTTCATTCTCTAACCACTCTAAACCTTTCAGCTAATGGTTTAAGCGGTCAAATCATGTCTTCAATTAGAAATCTTTCTCATATCACTTCCCTCAACCTCTCACGAAATCATTTCAGCGGTTTTATTCCTTCTTCGATTATAGACCTTTCTTATCTCACCTATCTCGATCTTTCACGGAATCATCTTTTGGGTCAGATTCCATCTTCGATTGGAAATCTTTCTCATCTCACCTATCTCGATCTTTCATGGAATCAAATTTCGGGTCAAAGTCCATCTTCTTTTGGAAACCTTAATCATCTCACTTATCTTGACCTTTCTGTGAACAATATTGTTGGAGAAATCCCAACTTCTTTTGGCAATCTAAACCAGTTGACCAGCTTAGATGTTGGTATCAATAGGCTCAATGGAAGCTTACCCATTGCACTACTAAATTTGACAAAGTTGTCATCTTTACAACTCAACTTCAATCAGTTCACAGGAACAATTCCTCATAACATCTCTTCACTATCCAAATTGAGGATTTTTATGGCAGATAACAACGCTTTCACTGGAACCCTGCCTTCTAAGATGTTAGCTTGTCTGATAACCAACTCAACGGTATACTTGAGATTGGGAATATATCTTCACCACCTAAGCTACGATTGCTATACCTTGGCCGAAACAACTTGAGAGGGCCAATCCCAGCCACGATATCCAAATTTACCAACCTTGCCTACCTTGACCTTTCTCATTACAAGACACAAGGTCCTGTTGACTTTAATATCTTCTCTCATCTCAAGTGGCTCGAACATCTTGACATATCCTATTTGAACACGACCACTACCATTGACTTGAATGATTTCTTGTCATATTTTAAGAGTCTATATTCGTTGGATCTCTCAGGCAACCATGTTTCAGTCACAAACAAGAGTCCAGTTTCAGATCCCCCTTTGCTGAGTGATTTGGAATTGTCAGGCTGCGGTATCACCGAGTTACCGGAGGAGTTTGCAAGATCGCAAAATATGTCTTACCTAGACATTTCCAACAATAAAATCAAAGGACAAGTGCCTGGCTGGTTATGGACGCTACCAAAGCTGGATTACCTGAATCTTTCCAACAACACTTTCACCGGCTTCGAGAACTCAACGAACCATGGGCTATCAAATCTGGAGATGTCTAACCTAGACATTTCCAACAATAAAATCAAAGGACAAGTGCCTGGCTGGTTATGGACGCTACCAAAGCTGGATTACCTGAATCTTTCCAACAACACTTTCACCGGCTTCGAGAACTCAACGAACCATGGGCTATCAAATCTGGAGATGTCTAACCTAGACATTTCCAACAATAAAATCAAAGGACAAGTGCCTGGCTGGTTATGGACGCTACCAAAGCTGAGTTACCTAAATCTTTCCAACAACACTTTCACCAGCTTCGAGAACTCAACTACAGTTTCACGTTCAAGGCTATATAGCAGCATAACCTTGTTAGCCTCCAATAACAATTTCAGTGGAAATATTCCATCTTTCATATGTGATTTGCGCTTTGTAGACGCTCTTGATTTATCAAACAACAACTTCAGTGGTTCAATCCCTCGTTGTTTGGAAAATCTCAAGAGTTCTCTTGGAGTTCTAAACCTGCGTCAAAATCGTCTTCATGGAGGTCTTCCAAAAATTATGTTTGAAAGCTTAAGAACGCTTGACGTCGGTCATAACCAACTGACGGGGAAGCTTCCAAGATCTTTGATCCATTCCTCTTATCTTGAAGTTCTGAACGTGGAAAGCAACTTTATCAATGATACGTTTCCGTTTTGGTTGACTTCTTTACAAGAGCTAAAAATTCTTGTGTTACGCTCCAATGCCTTCCATGGACCGATACATCAAACTTCGTTCCCTAAGTTGCAAATCATTGACATATCTCACAATCACTTCAATGGATCTTTGCCATCAAACTACTTTGAGAGTTGGAGTGCTATGTCGTCATCACTTGAGACAAATTATTTTCAGCCGGTTCCGGATGACAAGTACATGGGAGATTCATATTACCATGATTCAATGGTGTTGATGAATAAAGGTTTAGCGATGGAGCTTGTACGTATCCTGAAGATCTACACAGCGCTTGACTTTTCTGGAAACAAACTTGAAGGAGAGATCCCAAGGTCCATCGGTCTATTGAAAGAGCTTCTTGTGCTCAACTTGTCCAACAATGCATTCACTGGCCACATCCCTTCATCTATGGGAAACTTGACAGCTCTTGAGTCACTGGACGTTTCCCAAAACCAGCTTTCAGGAGAAATTCCGCAAGAGTTAGGGGAACTCTCATTCCTTTCTTACATGAACTTCTCTCACAACAAGCTTACGGGTCTAGTACCAGGAGGCACTCAGTTTCGAAGGTTGAACTGCACTTCCTTTGAGGATAACAACGGACTTTTTGGCCCTTCTCTTGACGAAATTTGCAAAGATATTCACATGGCAAGACCGCATGGAACGCTGGAATCAGAGAACGAAGAAGAAGAGGAGGAGGAGGAGGAAGTGTTGAGTTGGATAGCAGCAGTAATAGGAGTGATACCTGGTATTGCCTTTGGTTGGGTCATTGGATACATACTTGTCTCCTACAAACCAGAGTGGTTCATGAACCCTTTTGCCCGAAACAAACGCAGACGCAGCAGCAGCACCACAACTCATTAAAGAGGTAATATATTCCATATTTTTAAATCAACTTGTTAGCCAACGTTGGATGAAACAAAAAAAATATAAGAAAATCAGCTTAATAAACCTTTTTTTTTATATATATATAGGTCTTTTATAACATGCCTGAAGAATCTGGAAGAAGAAATTCAAAGGAACCACCATGTCCCAAATCCGGATTAGTGAAGGTTTGGGTTATTGTTTCTGGTATAGCTTTTGGTGTGTTGTCTCTATCTACCTCTCTGTTTTTACATTTTTAGCAAACTTCTTTGTTTCTCTGTAACTGAAAAAAAAACTCTGTTCCTTGCATTGTAAACTACTTAGCTCAATCAAAGATATGTTGTTTTTCCCCCTATTTTGTTATTTTAACATCAACTTAGACGTGATTAGAGCAACTAACAAATGATCAAGATAAACACTATAAGCACCAGATGAGTTCAGAAAAGGATATACATACTATATGTGGATATTTCGATTTTCATACTAGCGAGGACACATAAATAGAGAGCAAATCTAGACACATAAATGCAGAGCTTTGCAAAGTTAGGAGAGCCAATGGTAATGTCATTCCCCCAATTCTACCAAACACGAAACATTGATAGATATGCTTCTGTGACTTTTCTATTAGAAACTCCAATAATAGAGTCTCAGAGCATGATTATCCAAGGGTGCTTAGGGAGATGCTTAGGAGGAAAGGGGTGCTTAATTTGAAGAGAGAGAGTGTGAAAAGTGCTTAATTAAGCATTTTCCACACTCTCTCTCTTCAAATTAAGCACTCCTCTCCTTCTAAACATCTCCCTAAGCACCCTTGGATAATCATGGTCTCATGTGCCATCTCGTGTGTCTATCAGGTTACAAGAGTCTTGTCCTGGAGATTATAGATTGATGCAAAGTCACAAAGCAAACAGCGAAGCCAATAGCTTTGGTTGGTTTGATCAGTTCCAAAAGTGAATAATGGATGAGCATCGAATACATTGTGTTAAATCTGTAGACAATTCTGAGACCTGCTTACTCACAAAGTCTAATCGCAGTTCACAAAAAAGAGAGAAAAAGAGCACTCTTTGGAACTGCAGCATATTGATACACAAACCATAATAAATTAATACTTAACAAAAGTACATGTTGATATGTCTGTCAGATTACTACAAGAGTTTCTTTCACCAATCTGCTTTGCTACCAATGTACCCTAAATAAGATAAGTAAACACAAGAAAAAAAAAACATTGCTCTAACTTGAAACCTAGTGAGTAAGAATAATAATAACAGTTTCTCGAACTCCTTCCGAGGAGCTCTCAGATCATCCCACCATTGCTCTCTTACTAAACCACACAGTATAGCTTCTCCACAAATCTTATCCTACAACTTCTTATCTGTGTACAGTAACAACAACGCACAATTCAAGTTTCAGTAACTCTTCCTCGTATGATGAACATATAATATAACCTTCAGAAACAGAATCGAGAGTAGATGCTCAAAGATATGGTTCCAAATTAACAATCTGAAACCTCAGAAGCTTACATAAATTTTCAATCTGTAACTTGACCATATCACAGTTGCATAGTAGAGACAAAGAAAGTTTTTAGTCTTTATTACCTGAAGCAGCAACAACTCTACGTTTACCAAGCTTGGATCTTTCAATCTCCATCTGCATATCCATCAACATATTCATCCGTTCCAACTCAACCTCCTTCACACCTTCCATCCTCTCCTTCTCCAACTCAACCATCATCCTCTGCTTCTCACCTTCCATCCTCTCGTGCACCTCCCCTAACTTCAAAATCACTTACTTACTTCGTCCTTTGAAAAAAAAACTCTGTTCCTTGCGTTGAAAACTACTCAGCTCAACAAAGTTGTGTTGTTTTTCCTCCTCTTCTTTCATTTTAACATCAACTGCATAAATGTGATCAGGGCAACAAACAAACGATCCAGATCAACTCTATAAGCACCACATGAGTTCAGAAAAGAATATACATAACTATATGAGGATATTTCAATTTTCATACTAGTGACACGTAAATGCAGAGCTTTGCTAAGTTAGGTCTGGTTAGGAGAGCACAAGCTAATAATGTCAGCCTCAAATTCTACCAAACACGAAGAGTGTCTTGTCCTGGAGATTACAGATTGATGCAAAGTCACATAAGCAAACAGCCAATCCAATAGCATTGGTTGGTCTGATCAGTTCCAAAAGTGAATAATGGATGATCATCAAAATGCATTGTGTGTTAGATCAGTAGACAATTCTGAGACCTATTTGCAGATCACAAAAAGAGAAAGGAGCGATCTTTGGAACTGCAAGAATTGATACACAAACCATAATACATTAATACTTAACAAAAGTACATGTTGATATGTCTGTCAGATTACTACTACAAGAGTTTCTTTCACCAATCTGCTTTGCTACACAATGTAATTAGTGTTGTGGACCAATGTGTGGAAAATTGACTATTAGACACAAAGATTTTGCTTTCCACGAGATGAATAATGTATTTTTCATATAACGTCTTCTTTGGTGTAGACAATTTGTTTTTGAAAATTCATAAAATTAGTGTTGTGGACCAATGTGTGTGGAAAATTGACCAGACACAAAGATTCTGCTTTCCACGTGATGAATAATGTATTTTTCTCTATGGATTTCTTTTTGTGCGGAGTAAATACAGAGTCTATTATTGTGTATATAAAGAAATGGCCATGTAAGCATGTTAATCATCACCAATTTCCCTTTTCTTTTTGCTATTTCATTTTTGATATTTCAAGAAAGTTAAATAAGCTTAAAGAAGAATGAAAGGCTTTTGGAACTTAAGGAGTACCATTTCTCTAACTCTTTCTATACTTTTCCTATTCGGTTACAATTATGAAGACGTGTCTGCGGTTCCTACTACGCACTTGAGAGGACAAAAATCTATTATGGGACAAAACACCCAAAACTAATCTACAACAACCAAAAAAATCTACCATGGACCAAAGGGTGTAAAATGACCATTTTACCATTAATGAGAGTTCAATGTGAACCATTAGATCAGATAATGCGAAATGTAATCTGAGCCGTCGGATGATAAGAGAAAACTGGGTACAACTAGTATAACTCGTATAACTAAACATGTTAAAAATTGATATAACTAGCATAACTAATATATAAATGTTATAATTCATGTACAATATGCAACTACTATAATTGAAACGACTAATAATCATTTTTACATATATGAAATAAACAAACATATATCCTAATTGGTATCTGATGACAAATTTTCATCTATTTTATTTGAAATATTTAATTTTTTTGTTAAATTATTACATTACACTCTTAGTTTTACATCATATATATATATATATATATATATATATATTGTTTTAAGGTTTGTTAAGTAAATTAGCTATATTATTATGAAAATATTGGTACAACTTCTAAAATTAAACATATAAACAATTGATATAATTGTTATATTTTTATTATATATTAAACGAATATTATTGGTACAACTGGTACAACTTGGACATTTCAAAAATTGGCAAACTAATTTGGTATTCCATATGAGAACACTATCAAACATCCAAAGTGGTATGTAATCAGATATTTTCTCCTAATATATTTGAAGTTTTGAAAAATAAATTAAAAATTATTACACAACTCCATAAGTTTATATGATATACCTTATACTTTTAAGGTTTGTTAACTTCTTTGTCCACATATTTTTGGGAAAACATATATGAAATGCATTTTAACAAAATCGATGATCTCATTGTATTGGTCGAAGACATATATGCACATAAAAAGGTGGTACAACTGAGGTAAGTTTAAATTTCATGTGGTACAACTAGTTTTTTTGATTTCACTGTCAAAGTACAACTATGTACAAACGGGTATAACTCAAAAACTAGTACAACTATTTACAAACTGCTACAACTCAAAAACTAGTACAACTATGTACAAACCAATACAATTCAAAAACTCTTACAACTATTATATTGTTACATTAGTTTTACATTACATACCTTATATTTATAACATAATAAGTTATGGAGCTAGGACCCCCATTCACCAGATAAGATTAGTAGCTATGGTCCCTCGTAACACTGATTGCATAAAATATACAAGTAAATATACTAATTGGTATATAATGACAACATTTCATCTATTTTTTCTAATTTTTTTCAATTTTTTGTTAAATTATTATATTACATTCTTAGTTTACATTATATACTTTATACTTAAGGCTTATTAACTACATTAACAATATTATTATGAAAACAAACATTAGACATATTCTTACAAAAACCATGTTGTAAAAATATTAGTACAACTCAAAAAACTAGACATATAAACAATAGATATATTTTATAAAAATATATTAGATGAGTATTACTGGTACAGCTAGTATAACTTTGACATTTCAAAATTTGAAAAAAATCAGTTTGGTATTCCATATGAGAAAACAATCAAATATACTAATTGTTATATACTCATAGAGTTTCTTTAATCTAATTTGAAGTTTTATATAAATTGTTTTTATAAATAATTACAAAACTCCATAAATTCAGATAATCTACCTCATAATTTTAAGGTTTGTTAAATTGTTTGTCCACATAATTTTTAGAAAACATACATGAAATGTACTTTTACAAATTTAATGATTTCATTGTAACTGGGCAAATGTATGTAAACAAAAATAAGTGGTACAACTGAGGTAAGTGCACTTATTATGTGGTACAACTAATATTTTTGATTTCACTGCTAAAGTACAACTATGCACAAACTGGTACAACTCAAAAACTAGTACAACTATGTATAGTCAGGTACAACTAACAAACTAGTACAACTATGTATAGTCAGGTACAACTAAAAAAATGATACAACTATTTGTTATTTTATTTATATTGTTTTAAATGTGGATCATGTTTTAACAATTTTGGTTGAACACTAAATGCCAAGTAGTTGTACTAGTTGTGTCATTCTTAAATATTATTGCTTAGTTGAATATGTTGTATTAATTATACTTATACCAATATACATATATATTTAAACTAAACATAATTTTTCCATACAAGATATAATTTTCAAAAGGAACATAAGTTTTGATAGTTTCAAAAGATATAAAAACAAGTTTTACATCACAAGAAACATAAGTTTTAATACCAAAAGGAACATAAATTATATAAAGAACATAAGTTTTCAAAAGTAAACCC